CCCATGAGATTTGTTGTTTACTTCTTTTCCGGGGCTTCTTCCAATTTAGACATCAACACTTCAAAAACATCAAAAACACACGTTATCTTATTCAGACGTTTTTAACAGTCACCTGTGTGTTGTTATCTGCACATTGACAATCTGTCAAAACAGAGATGTAGGTTATAAGTTTGCAGTTAACAGTTTTCAGTAAGTTTTAAACTTGCCAAATGCTATTTATGTGCTGTACCGTTGCAAAAAAAAAAAAACCCACTAACTATACTCTCATCATTTCGGAATGACGCAAAAGTTGGTAGTGCGAGATACTGAATACTGAATATAATGCGAGATACTGTTTATATATAAGTTGGCCTTGCCAATTCTCCTTTCTTTTTTTTTCAGTAGTTTAAAAAATAAAACAACATAAAGATAGATTTGATTAAAAAAAAAAAAATGCAACAATTTACATAAATATTTATAACACCTGTATCACAGAAATAAATTAAAAGCTCGAAAACACTTTTAAACAACAACAATATTGATGCTTTCAGTTTTTTAAACTGTTTTCAAGAGAACTTTGTAAGACAGAAAAGCTCATAAAGCAATGCCGTATTGCAAAACTTTTTGGAATTACCATTCTTCGTTCAGTAAACTTATTATTTTTACAAAATTTTTTTGAAAAAAAACTATGACTATCGTTTCCTGTACTAACATCTATTAAGTCTTCAAAAACAAATAATTGTCACTTTTTTTCAGTTAAATATTCTTCAACAAAGTTTTCTTTTGAATTTTAGTTGCAAAATACTTAGAGAAAATTTGAAAAAGTTTGAAAAAATTGAACTCTTTTATTTAAACTCGTTTCTTGACCGCAATTTATTTGAACCGATAGAATGCAGCACTAAAAAGTTTTAGAACGATAATTCTGAACACTGGTCCACCTTGACAAATTGACGATCTTCAACTATAAAGCCTAATCAATCGTGCTGAAGAATTCTTAATTTAAAAGTATTTGAAAAAATAGAGGAAATTAAAGACAACATACGGCTTACAATCATTAGATATGCATTACCCATAGGATAGATATTGTTGCTTAAATATTCAACCATTGTTTGCGTGTAAGACAACTCTACAATGCTCTTCGCTATCTTCTACTTTGGTCTTTATTTCAGATCTCCGCTTGCTCAAGGTTTTTTTGCTTTAATACCACTGTAAATCATTTTTTCTGCTTCAGCTTTTGCTTGCTTTTTTACGTGAATTTTTTTACTGACGTCGGACCTAGAATACTCGGGTACCGAACACTGGCAGTGCTCAAAAAAATAACTGAGCACATTAGCTTGGCTGGGTATTTTATACAATCCTAATTTGGTGTAAACCTTTTCTTATCATACTTTGTTTTTGCACTGTAATGTTAACTTAAAAATTTTCAGTTTATAATCCCTGCAATGAAACTGAAGATCCAGGCCCATGTCAACAGTTTCAGGTACCGTTTTTTTTTT